ACAGCTGATCGTCGGGGCTTCGTTTTGCGAAGATCGGTAAGCGAAACGCTTACCGGTCTTCGCAAAGCGAATTGTGCCCCATAAGAAAAACGTTAAGCGATCGCATTAGCGATCCGAAAAAACGGATCGCTATGCAATTTCGTCATTATGTGGTGCACTCGTTAAGCGAGGCACCACTGTACTGTGGTATTATGAGGTGTGTTTGTGTGTTTAAATGTCTGACCTGGAAACCTTCCTAAGGTGGGACATAACATAATAGAGAAAATGGACCCTCATCCCAATTTATCATTGAGCCAGCCACCATGATGATGTAATCTAATGGCACTGCTTCATTTATATTAACTTTGTCCATTAAGTGGAGAAAGAGAAAATCAATCCATGATTTTGTTTTGTTTACTCAAAGCTGCTATTATTTCTTAATAATATATTTCCCTTAAATATGTTTGTTGGCAGTAGATCTTATGAAGACAGTTGTGTCTAAATTTCTCTTTTGTGTTAATGTTTGACTTCAAGCTGAGATGCAGAGATTTGGATTCAATCTGAGGAGGAAGCTGCGAATAACATCAGGAACATATTACAGGCATTTCATAGGAATTTCTACATGTCTGGACTTGGGTGTCTGGGAGAGTTTCATGTTTTTACTTTAGAGGATGACTTCATAAAAAAACACATATTTTCTTTTACTAAAATGCAACACTCGAAGCATGTGGAAATTTCTGGATATATAAAATTTACGTGTAGGAAGGGTTTTACCAGAATAGGTGAATGCAGTTTCCCACAATATTACCTTCTGTGTCATTTCTAATCCGTGTTTTGTAAGAATCACAACATTCATCTATGTTGTCGAAATGTTGCACACAGGGATTTTGTTGTTGCTTTTGACTACCTGTGTATCTACACAGTAAAGACTTAAGATATACAGTACTTAGTCTAAATTAGCCATGTTTGAACGGGCAGGAACCTGCCTGCCAAATTAAGAACAAGAGGCAAAGCTGTGTTTTTGGACGCTAGGCAGATGGCTACCTTTCGTTACTCACAGAGAACAAATTCATCTCCTCTCAGTCCTTCAGTGGTGTTCTATTGCTGCCCATTATGACTTGTGCCCTTTTGTAATCAGTGGATTTTAATGAGTCACTGAAATCCAGTAGTAAGTTGCAACTGGAGCAGGCCTATTGAATCAGTGGAATTTATGGAGGAGTTAGCTCACCAATGGGCCTGTTCTAGTTGTAACTTACTATTGGATTTCAGCCTATAGTACACTACTTTTCTTTTTGTTTTTATTTTGATGTACATCAGAAGATCTTGAATTTACAATACCCTAGATGTTCTTGATTCCAGCTCCCATTCTTTCTGGTCATTACTAAGCTGACCTAGTTCGAATGTAGAGCCCAATTTATGTTGCGAGTACACTGAAGCCTCTATTATCTCAGGCCTCCAAGAGGTGCTCACTCTCCTACTCAATTGCTGCCACCAATATTTCAGTTTCAATACTAATTATTCAGTGAGACATGTGTTGTATAGTAGCTTCCCCAGCACTCATCCACTGGTAAGCTACTGTGTCTAGGCCTCTGTCTTCCAGCCAGGCCTTTCACCAAAGACAGAGTTTCTCTCCCTGCCTCAGGCACCAAATAACCCTAAATAACAGCTTCAACCTTTCACAGTTTTAGCTGACTTGAGCCCCCCTCAGCTTATCTGCCCTTGGCCTTCGCTTTGTCCCCTCAGAACTCTATCCTTTGAGCTCAGGACAAGCTAGCCAACCGGTCACAGATCCTGCTTGGGGTAAACTCATTCTAGAAATGGTTTCCACAGAGCCTGTCCCTATCTTAGCCTCCCAATCTGAGTTTCAGAGCCCTCCTACCAAGCCTTCTCCCCTTGAGAAGCCTTCTCCCTGCCCCATCTCCTCCCGATCCCCCCATCTCTATTGCCCACTTTTGCAGTAGATTGATTTTATTTTCCGTTGCTTTGCCTTCCTGCCTTTCCCGACTTCAGTTCCATAAAATGAAATTAAGTTACCTGAAAAAACTGGGTCCCCTTTCATGTCAAACAGGACTGGTGCACGAAAATGATAGAGGCAAGATGGAGCTGAGAAATTTAAGGGAGGGGGAATTGATTTTTTTATTATTCATTTTTAAATTTAAAAAATGAATTTTTGAAAATTCAAATTGTGATTTATATCTATTTGATTTTTTTTTTTAAAAAAACACCATTGATTTTTATCCACCCTGGATAGAGGCGGCCTACAAAACGAAGTGACAACAAAATGAAAGTTTTCACTGCACATCCTTAATATCCTTATCTATATACCTCTTTATGTATAGTCATCCTAATATAGCTATTGTTTGCTCCGGATTGATAAAGAGTATTGAAAAAGAATCATATCCAATCAGATGCAGTTCAGCAGCAGGAAGAGTAAGGTCCTGCACTTAGGCAGGAAAAAAAAAACAGATGCACAGGTACAGGATAGGTGGTACCTGGCTCGACAGTAGTACCTGTGAGAGGGATTAAGGTGTCCTGGTGGACCACCACCTAAGGATGAGCCAACAGTGTGCTGCAGCTGCCAAGAAAGCCAACACAGTCCTAGGCTGCATCAACAGGGGAATAGTACCTGTATCAAGATCACAGGAAGTGATAGTACCACTCTATACCACACTGGTGAGGCCACATTTGGAGTGCTGTGTCCAGTTCTGGTCACCACAGTAGAAAAAGCATGCTGAGGCCCTGGAAAGGGTGCAGAGAAAAACAACAATTATGATAAGGGGACTGGAGGCTAAATCCTATGAAGAACCACTAAAAGAACTAGGCATGTTTAGCTTAACGAAGAGAAGGCTGAGGGGAGACATGATAGCAGTCTTCCGTTATCTGAAGGGTTGCCGCAGGGAAGAGGGCATCAATTTATTCTCCATTGTGCCTGAGGGTAGGACAAGAACCGAAGGGTGGAAACTCGTCGGAGGGAGATCCAACCTGGAAATAAGGAGGAGTTTCCTGATGGTGAAAACCATTAAACAGTGGAACAGCTTGCGTCCCAATTTTGTGGGTGCCCCCATCTGTCTGGGATAGTATGAGGTCTGGGATGGTATGAAGTCTCCTGCCTTGGGCAGGGGGTTGGACTAGAAGACCTCCAAGGTCCCTTCCAACCCTACTGCGATTCTACGATTCTATAATTTTAAAAAACACTTTAGAAAACTAGATAAAAATGACAGATTTCTACAGAAAACAGAATTTAAAGTTGGTCCTCATCCGTCTTCAACTATCTAGTTTTAAATGCAGAGCAGAAACATTGGTTATAAACTGGGTTACTCCGACAATTGGTGCTGATGCCTAAGAGCAGTGGTTTAGTCTGCATGAACATGCTATGACAGTCGGGGAAAACATTGTATGTCCACCCTTTTTTTTTGGCTTTAAGCCATTCTGTTCTTGCAGCTGCAAAGGAGCATCAAGTTCTGGCTGACAACCTTTCTGGAGCTTCACTGAGATTTCTCTCTTGGCATCTGACTTTTATGCAAAGAGGGCTTTGGACAATAAAGACTCATGACATAGTTGTATTTTACAGTTTTAGAGAGAAGGAAATAAAAAACGAAAACTGCAGGTACAAGATCTCCCACTAGCTTAAGAAAATCCATGTTTAAAATCAATACTGTATTATATTAAGCTGTATATGTTCAGTGTATTCACCTGCCATTTTATAAATATACAGTTGTCCTAAGTTGACACTGCTCTATATAGTAAGGAACTCTGCCGCTGCTGTTATGCTTGAATCTAATTAGAAGCATTTTGAAAAAGTTACATTAAATCGGTAATATTTTGATATTTTTATAAGGCAGCACACTTTGACTCCACTCCAATGAAACGTGTGAGTCTGACTGAAATCCTCTTCGTATTCTGACCTAATTGGAATTTGACCTAACTAAACCAGACTTACCTAGTTAGACATGAATCAGAAAAACCAATAGGGCAGATTAATCAAGTCCCAAGTGAGATCTGAGCTAGCTTGAACACAATGATTTTTGCATAATAAACTGTAGTTATTCAGTTTGGAGTGAGAATCATACTCTCCCTGTAGCCACTGATATATGGAGTTCATGCCACATAGACTACTGGCATTAAACTACACTGCCAGACATAATAGAAATCTAGTTTCTATTACAGACATACGTAATAGAAATCTAGTTACAGACATAATAGAAATCTAGTTTTCAGTGATACAGTGACTGAAGCACTTACACTGATGTGCAGGGGAAAGAGCCTCGTGACACAATGGTTAAATTGCAGTAATGCAGTGAAGACTCTGCTCAAAACCTGGGTTTGATCCTGGCTCAAGGTTGACTCAACCTTCCATCCTTTTGAGATGGGTAAATTGAATACCCAGCTCGCTGGGGGTGGGGGCATTGTGTAGCCTGCATAAAAAAAATGTAAACCACTCAGAGAGTGATTTAAGCTCTATGGGGTGGTATTTAAGCAGCACAGTTTAGTCTGTACCTTATTGTTTCATCTAAACTGGGCACTTTCATTGCCAGGCTATGCATATTCACTCAACACTAAATTGGACCGAATGCAGTGGGTTTTACTTTCTAATAAGTATTTTAAGACAGAGGTCTTAAAAGTCTATAAGCAGCACACTTTGCTTTGTTACAATTGTAGAAGGCTTGATATAGTCTGTTTTTAGGGACTATTTATTACTAAAGTCCGTGGAATTGCTTTACAGATATGAATGTTTCTGAAGTAAGTGGTTTGTGGATAAAGATTGCAAATGCAAATGAAATTACTTCTGTTCAAAAATCCATGTTGAAATTGTGGCCTTTTATTTTTAAAACATTTATTTCTTTGATGTTTCAGATCCAGAATGCAAATGATGTTTTAATAGCACCACTGGAGAAATTTCGTAAAGAACAAATAGGTGCCGCAAAAGTAAGTTTCCTATAAATCTTGCGTACAGTAGGTCACCACTTTATCTGCTTAATCCATTCCCACAGCCAAACTGTAGGCTGATGCCTTGCATGTTCCTCATTTGGGTAATAATTTTGTGAATATTATGTATTTCACACATCTATACATTTACACTGTTGGAATGATAATAATTCATTTGTAGTGATTGGCAAGTTTTGACTCATGTTGTGGGGGGAATGCCATTGCATATTTTTGTACGAAGGATGAGAGTCAAATGGTACACCTGCATCTATTAGTCAGTGGCATTCACATATGCTAAAAAGGTTTGCAGGTCAGAGCTACAAAAGGTAAATGCTGTTGCAGAGTTTTGGATTTTGGTTAAATTCCTCTAGTTGTACAGCAGAAATGAAGGGATTTACAGAGCAGAAATAGCTTCAACTTCCCAAGATTAGCCCACCCCTTCATCTCATCAACTGTCACTTATAGTCTCAATAACTCACTCTGAGACATTAGTAATAGAAAGAATAAAAAGGTTCATTTACTTACAGTGAACAGATAAAAGCAAGGTAACAAACATGACTGACTGAGTGGAATGGGGAGAAAGGAGCAGAGAGGTAGGCTCTCTTTGAAACCACAGGCAGGGAAGGAACAAGTGGTTAGTGTGGTTATTGACTGACGGTCAGCCCAGCCCGGAAAGATCTCTTCCGGTCCACACCTACTAGATGCAGCATGCAAGGACACAAAATCTCCAAGCACCGCCTTAGGAAGTATTCTCCCTTCTTTCACTTAAAGCAGTACTACCTTTTCTAAATTCATGTATCCTTTCAGGACACCTGTATAACTCAAAAACAAAGAAAACATGCTTTTTAGCTCCAGTAAAATTGTTATTTCCTGTGCGTTGATCCGACTGATCAACCCCATATAGTCCATTCACATTTAGTTAGTTAGAGTGGAGACCCAATAAATCAAACTTTTCTAGGCACTGAACTAGAAAAGGAACCAAATATGGGTACATGAAGAACAGGAAAGGCAAGAAAGAGGAGGGGTAAGACAACTAGAGATTTATGGACTCTGTAATACAGTTTATAAGGAATTTGAGTGCATGCGAACAATGGATTTCATTTTGTTCTCCTTTTATGTGTAACGTGTGGAGGATAGGTTTGATAGTGCTGGTCCCCACTATGGGAACAAGGGTGGGATAAAAGCCAAATAACTGAGTGAATTAAATAGCCAGTGGTTGGAATCCTGTTGCTTAATGTAGTAAGTTGAATTGAAGCAGACCTACTGAATCAGTGGGGATTTGGTGGGTCACCTCTTCCATAAGTTCTCTTTGGAAGGTGTTGGGAACCTTCTGTGGGTCCAAAATGTGGCTGGAGGCCAGCATGTCATCATCTTTGCTGTCCTTCTGCAAACATACAAAGTCCTTTTTTTCCCAGGCAGACTTTGCCTTAGTGACCGGCTGCCTGCGAGGAGCTTTTAAATAGATTGTTATGCCTTGTTGCTTTTGAATGTGTTTTGGCAGTTGATCTTATTACTGTTTTTAGTGTTGCGTTTGTTTGATTCTTTTCTAATATTTGTATCCTTGCTGTTTTTAGCTTTCATATATTACCTTTTAACGATGTAAGCTGCCTTTTTAAGGAGAATGGTGGGATAAAAATATTTTAAATACATAAATCTAGTTGATGCAGCTGGATAAGGAAGGAGGCTGTAGGTATGCACTTAAATGTTTCCTTACTCAGGCTCATGCTTATTTTTCTCACCTGCACACTGGTCTTATATTCAATATGATCTTAAGTTAATCTACATATTAAGCATCTGGAATAACAGGATACTTAATTTGCTTACATACACATCTGTACACTCAAAACTATTTTCTTCTACCTATGTTGTGCAGATGCAGTCTATATTCTTAGTTTAATTACTCAATGTAGATACAAAGAAAATATGTCCATGCTTCAGGAGTATTGCTCCTGTCCACATGCAGATTTGCTCTTTATAAATACTGTTTGGTGCATAGCTCTGTGTCCTGTGCCAAATGGTGCAGAAAAGGAGAGTTTGTGAGAGCTTTCCTTTCCTCTGGTGATGGGCAGATCGCCACCTTTCAGGTACTCTGTTTTGGAGTGTTAAAAAAATTGCAAAGCTTCCCTGACCGAGTGAGGTATTTGGGTGGAAGGATATATGGGCACTGGGTGGTTGTTCAGAATGTTCCTTCATGCCAAGATGTGTGGGAAGTCAACAGTTCAAATTGTTGTTATGATGTGGTTTCAGATCAGGAGGAGGGAACCTCCTCAGGTCATGAACGTCTTTAGTGATTCAAACTATTCACATTCTCAGGAGATTTGTAGCTTCAAGGCTCAGCATCCTGGCTTCTCATTTGGGAGCCCTCACAGTTTAATATTCAATAGATATTCTTATAGTTGTTTTCCCACCTGGGAGGAGCTTGTTGAAAAACATTAACTTAGAAATACAAACTTTAATAACCAAACACACACATTGGGCTTTGTTATAAGGCTAATGTTTATGACATTAAAATTTTTAAAGATACGTTCAGTATATGAAGCAAACTGTAAGTTTAAGTTATGAAAAAACTTGACTAAGAAGAATTTTAGTCACAATGAATGGTTTTCCCTATTTATGCTGGTATTCCCTATTTATATCTATACATATTTGTGACATAAAAGTTTGGTACTGAAATATATTGTGGAATATATCAACCTTGGAACCAATCTCCCGCAGGTACCATAGTCCTACTATATCAGAATTTCAAGTTGTGTTTGGGAGTCAATGAGTAGTTAGAACATATATCAGAATGCGTCCTTTCAAAATTCTGATAACTTGCATCACTGTGAGAATGTTTTTGCCATGGTGGAATAGAGGATTAGTATGTTTGTGAAATAAGTGAGTCATATCTGCTTGATCAAGGCGCATTGTATTCATTTAGTTGCTGTTCCTTAGATCAGTCAAAGCAAAGGCATCTGCCTAACCTCCAAAAGGAAAGGAAAAGAAAGGAAAAATCTTGAGGGAGTCTTCATTCTGTCCGTCTAAAACTTGCAGGTCTCATCCTTCAAAATCCCATCAGAATGCCTGAAAAATGTGTCCCAGAAGAAGGTAAAACACAGAAGTTGAACACAAAAGAATGATTGGGTCTCCCATTGAAAGTAACTTATTTGGAACTTTTTAAAAATTAACTTTAAAATGTACACCTTTCTGAAATGGCATTTCCACAGTTTGTCTGCTGTTTGGATGATCTGGTGACTGTAGGGGTGGATGGAAGCAATAGAATACCTGACCATTACCTTGCCAGATCTTCAGGATGGAGGGGCAACAGGAATGTGTCATTAGAAGAGCAGCTTCTTAAATTCTATATTGCTTTGTAGTGATGAGAGCGAAAGAGAGAGGAGAGAAAACATATGTGCTCCCCCCTTTCCTCTATAAGATTAATGTTTGTAAATATAATAAAGTCTCGTCCTTGTTCTTCCCCCCACCCCTAGGGTATAGAAACCCAACTCTAGCCTAGCGGCTCATTCTTTCGAAGTCAGATGTTCTGCAAAGAGGGGGCGAGTGACCTCTATCATTTATAGCACAAATCATAGGAAAACTTGGAGTGAGCTAAGCAGGAAAGGATTTCAAGCAGAGACTCACTTGCCTTATTTGGTCAATGTGGTTTGCTGGTTCCCAGCTGGTAATGTTGTGCAGTTCAGAGATTACCATGGTGAGTGCATTTAGAGCAAGCTTCCGTGTGGCTCCTTGGTATCCATTCTGTATTGTATTTAGCAGCATTTGTTCAAGCACTGGTTGGCCACTACAGTGTCAGATCAAAGTAGATGACAGGATCCAACCAAGAATTTTTTCAAGATATTGAAGGCGTCTTCTCTCTTCCCCCACCCGCTTCCGCACAGCTCTGCGTTCCCTCTTTTTTTTCTGTTGCTCTTGGCACAACAACAGACGGGGTCTGTTTGTTTCCCTGTTGATATGGCTCAGTATCTATCATAAGAATAACAGTGCTTTGTATTTCAGCAGCACTTCAGAGAGTTCAAAGCACTCAGTCTACATTATCTTGTATCGATCTTTCCAACATTCAGTCCTCTGGTAAGGTATTACGGTATTGCAGCCTGGCGAATAACTGCACAAAATTGTTTATTTGCTTATTTATTTTAGAGGTTTTAACCTATAAAGCCCTAAGCGGCTTGGGTCGAAGCAATGTCAAAGACTGTATTTCCCTCTCTGACGCTTCCTGGGTGTTCATATCATCCGGGGAGGCGTTTTTCTCTGACCCACCATCTTCACAGATGCGCTTGGTGGGGATGTGGGAGACTCTGGAAGCCCCTCCCACAGGAGGCCAGGCCAGCCCCATCATTGCTATCGTTCTGATAAAGCCCTAAGCGGCTTGGGTCGAAGCAATGTCAAAGACTGTATTTCCCTCTCTGACGCTTCCTGGGTGTTCATATCATCCGGGGAGGCGTTTTTCTCTGACCCACCATCTTCACAGATGCGCTTGGTGGGGATGTGGGAGACTCTGGAAGCCCCTCCCACAGGAGGCCAGGCTGGCCCCATCATTGCTATCGTTCTACGAGCAAGCAAAGACTTTTCTCTTCAGACAGGCTTTTCCTTAATGACATACTGTCTAGGATATATTTTAAAACAAGATGGTTTACATTTTGTTGCTTCTAAATCTACTTTAGTAATGCTTTACCTAATGTTATTAATATGTTATTAGTTTCTTTAGTATCTGAGTTATTCACTCTTTAAAGCTTCTGTGTTTTAATTATGTAAGCCGCCTTGGGGTGAAAATGTTTTAAATAAATAAATAAAAAGTGTATCTGTATTCTTTTTGAGGTGGAAAGAAAGTCCAAAGGATTTGTAATATAAGGAAATACAATAAAGCCTGTCCTCAAAAATAACCCAAAAATTAAAAAAATCAATCAATTAATTGAAACTGATAGCATTAAGGAAGAGGAAGATAGGCATCATCATCATCATCTTAGAGCTGCAGAGTTGGAAGGGATCACTGAGTCCAGCCC